CCAGATGCCGCGAAAGGGCCTGGACATGAGCGGCGAGGCACTGGTACGTAATTTTTCTACCTTTTTTATTGCTTGACAGATCCCACACTGCAATTTCAGATGAGCGCAGGAGCCTAGAATAGGCATAAAATGCCGAGGTCACGGTGGTAAAGGGGGCCGATTTGGTTTCCAATCCGCAACTGACGGCAAACTGGCGTCCGTTCTGGAGATTTACATCTGACATGCCGGCAAAAGAAAGCGGGCCGTCTCCTTCCAGGCTAGATTTAGCCTGCCTGGCAAACCTCTCTAACGCCTTCATGAGCAAACGAGAGAAGACTGAATCTGTACCCTTATAGCCGGGTGAATGAAGAGTGAACAAGCCGTGCGTGTCTTCATGTGCATTTGTGTTCCGACAATGCCATGTTATATACACAGCTGGCCATTCAGGGCACCATGGTAGGTCCAAACGCACTAAGCGTGATTTAAAGGAGACAATAACGTTTTGTGCTAAATATGGAGGTACAGCGTGATATGTAGATGCATGCAACAACGAACTTTGTATACGTCGTGGGAGTGCAATGGTAACCGAGTCGGCCTTTCGATCTTCGGACGTACGCCACGCATCCTGAGTTTCGTCCGCCTCCTCTTTATATCGACCCCAAGGGGGCGTGTGTAGATGTAGATGCACCGAGGCTATTGGCTCTTGGAATCGGTGTCGTGGATGTGTGTTCGGGTACCGACACGGGCCAAGAGCTCAGAAACTGACGTCCTGGTTAAAAATTCTCTGTCCTCTTGTACATCGTAATTGATTTGACAAGCCAGTAGGCATTGACGAAGGCACCAGAACTATGAGCCATATATTACACACATGGGAGCCCTGATACATGCCAAGCACATCACATTGGAATCCCACACGGAAGGGTTACCAGTCCAGTCACCACAGAAAGTAGTGTCAAACACAATGTTGTCACGAAAATATGAGTCAATATTGCTGCCATTGTCACGAAAATATGAGTCTATATTGCTGCCGTTCCCTCCGGCAAAACGCGCAAGCGGCACGCCCCAAGCTGCGGGATTTGGGCTACCAGACGTTGTGCCTTCGGGGATTCCGTGACCAGAGAAAAGCCAGGCCGATATGCCGTCAGAAGCCCATTCCATTGCGTAAACGCCGCCGTCAATGCTGCTAAACGCGTCTCCGAAGTATTGACCCGCCCGTGTCTCCATGCCGCAACCATCTCCAACGACACTGCAATCTTGACGGCTGATGTGTGGATAATAACCCTCGCCTGACATCGTAATGTAACAGCCTGGGGATGTGTGGAGAGTGATTGAATTGGCTTTTGACCGTTGACCCCTTCTATGATGTCCATCTCGCCGGAGGGTGGCCATTTAGGTCACACTCCACAAGCTCCACTGGGCATATGAGAGATGTCGGCAACAA